GTTCGACACTTCACGTGGCCTCAGGGTGCACATAGCCTGGCACAAGCGTCGTGGTGACGTCACCGCCACTTAGTGGCGAATGGCGGTTGTTGTTGTATCTGTGTGTATCTGTGTGTGTGGATGAGTGTAGGGGTGTGTGTGGTGTGTGTGTGTGTCTGTGTGTGGATGAGTGTAGTGGTGTGTGTATCTGTGTGTGGATGAGTGTAGGGGTGTGTGTGTCTGTGTGTGTGTGTCTGTGTGTGTAGCGACGTTAATGGCGCCACTCCGGCATTTATCGCCCGCTACTGATAACAAAGTGGAACTGCAAGTGCAGTGACATCGGTGACGTCACTGAACTCGCAGTGACGTCACTGCGTGGTGCCGGCCTGAGATTGCCAGGCGGCGCGATGGAACCGTCATGGCGTACACCCCGTGGCCTGGTGTGGTACCAGCCCAAGCGGAGCTCGGTGAGCACTGGGATAGAACGGGCACCACGCACAGGGGAGCGGTGCGGGCAACACGCAGGGCGTGCGGTGAGGTCTCCCACAGGGGGAGTGTCGGCCCAAAGGAGAGGGTCGCCCCGGGCCGTGGCACTCTGGGTTACCCCGTAGACACGTGACCCCGTAGACACGTGACCCCGTGACCACGTAGACACGTGACCCCGTAGACACGTGACCCCGTAGACACGTGATCCCGCAGACACGTGATCCCGTGACCACGTAGACACGTGACCCCGTGACCCCGTAGACACGTGACCCCGTAGACACGTGATCCGGAGTGTCCACAGAGAGGCCCCCAGGTGGGGGGTGGGGCTAGGGAGTGGTCACGTGTCTGGGGGGTGGTCACGTGTCTGGGCGGAGCTCTCTTGGGATCGCGAGGGAGCTGGAAGGCTCCAGAAGGCGGGCGGACCCAGCCTCATCCCCGACCTCCACCACCTCCATCACCACCACCTCCATCATCACCTCCATCATCACCACCACCATCAACAACAACTGCCATTTGCCATTAAGTGGCGGTGACGTCACCACGACGCTTGTGCCAAGCTAGGTGCACCTTGAGGCCACGTGAAGTGTCGAACGCCCGCTGGCAGGAGGTCACGGGGCAGACCCAGCAGGTGCCACGGGTCGACTGAGACGACTGGCTGGTGCACCACCTGTGCCCCCTACTGTGCCAACCTGCTGTGCTTTAGTCACCCGGCGCTCTGCTCGTTGTTGTGAGCGTCGCTCCTCCACCCTCCGTTGTTGTTGGAGGGCGACTGCCTCCAACTGCCCAGTAGCGTCCTTCACGAGCCTCCTCCACAGAGGCCGATCTTGACACCGCTGGTACCAGTCATCGGCAAGTCCACTCAGCTCCACGTCCTCCCGTACCACATCACTCTATCTCTTCTCGAGCCCATGCCGTGCCTGTTTAGCCCCCTCAATCCGGCCGAACAAAAGCTGTTTTGGCATGCGGTGGCTGGGCATGCGGGCTACATGACCCAGCCAACGCAGCCTTGCCTGCCGGAGGAGCTCACCGATGGGACCTTGTCCAGATCTTTCAAGGATTTGTGAGCTCCTCACACAATCCAGCCTGCAGGTTAAACCCAGGATGGAACGTAGGCAGGGCCAGCCTAAATGTTTCTAACCGGTGAAGATGCTCCATTCAGGGGGTACATCTTCGCCATCACCACCATCACCACCACCTCCACAATCACCACCATCTCCACCACCACCATCACCTCCACCATCACCACCATCACCTCCATCACCTCCACCACCTCCACCAAGTGATGGTGACGTCACCACAGCGCCTGTGCCAGGCTAGGTGCACCAGGTCACGGGGCAGACCCAGCGGGTGCCACGGATTGTACCGACTGAGATGGGTAAACACCACAATTTCACCGCGCGTGTGATGGTTAAATGCGAGTAATTTTATTCCTTTGCAAAACAAAGTTTCTAATTGGTCTTACAACATCTGGACACAATCACCGTCTTGTCACTGCCGCAAAGGGGTGAGGACAAATCTTAGAGCGGGAATCACCCCGCGTTGCCTTCTCACCACGGGTACCCTGTGTGGTTCATGCGGTGACGTCAATGCAGTAACGTCAATGCAGTAACGTTAATGTTAACACTGCAACGTCAATGTTAACACAGTAATGTCAATGCAGCAACGTTAATGTTGACACAGTAATGTCAATGTTAACACAGTAATGTCAATGCAGCAACGTTAAAGTTAACACAGTAATGTCAATGTTAACACAGTAATGTCAATGCAGCAACGTTAATATTAACACAGCAACGTTAATGTTAACACAGTAATGTCAATGTTAACACAGTAATGTTAACACAGTAATGTTAACACAGTAATGTCAATGCAGCAATGTTAATGTTAACACAGTAATGTCAATGTTAGCACAGTAATGTCAATGCAGCAACGTTAATGTTAACACGTAATGTCAATGTTAACACAGTAATGTTAACACAGTAATGTCAATGTAGCAACGTTAATGTTAACACAGTAATGTCAATGTTAACACAGTAATGTTAACACAGTAATGTTAACACAGTAACGTTAATGTTAACATAGCAATGTTAACACAGTAATGTTAATGTTAACACAGCAATGTCAATGTTAACACAGTAATGTCAGCCGTTCCGGTAACATATCAGCAGTGCCGGTAACGTATCGGCAGTACCGGTAACATATCGGCAGTACCGGTAACGTATCGGCAGTACCGGTAACGTATCGGCAGTACCGGTAACGTATCAGCAGTACCGGTAACGTATCGGCAGTACCGGTAATGTATCGGCAGTCCCGGTAACGTATCCGCAGTACCGGTAACGTATCCGCAGTACCGGTAACGTATCGGCAGTACCGGTAACGTATAGGCAGTACCGGTAACGTATCGGCAGTACCGGTAACGTATCGGCAGTTGCCGGCACGGTGCAGCGATACCGGGTGCAGGTTTTGAGGTTCTGGTTTGGGCAGTGGGATCAGTGCGGGGGGAGGAGGGCAGCTCCTTCACACTCGGCTGGTCCGGAACACCGTGAGTTCACCGTGAATAGATAGATAGACGTGTCTATGTGTTTGTCTATATATAGTGTCTATATATAGTGTGTGTCTATGTGTGTGTCTATATATATAGCGTGTGTGTCTATGTGTGTGTCTGTGTGTATCTATATATAGTATGTGTCTATGTGTGTCTATGTATAGTGTCTGTGTGTCTATATATATAGTGTGTGTCTAGATATATAGTGTGTGTCTATGTGTGTGTCTATATATATCCGGAGTCTGAGACCAGGAAAGGCAGAGGGCAGAGATGATCTCCCAAGCGAAATGCTGAGGGAGGGTGGCGTTTGTGCACAGACTGCCCTATATGACATCATAACAACAGTCTGGACCACTGGACGGGTTCCGCAGGATTGGAAGGATGCCATGGTGGTCCCCCTCTTTAAGAAGGGGGACCGCACAGACTGTAACAACTACAGGGTCATCTCACTCCTCAGTGTGCCGGGAAAGGTCCTGGCAAGGATTATTCAACAGCGCCTTGCCAGGCACGCTGAAGTGAGCCCCAATGCGGTTTCAGGAAAGGGCGGTCCTGCACAGATGCCATATTTTCTGTCCGTCTGCTACAGCAGAGGTGTAGGGAATTCCAGCAAAACCTACATCTCTGCTTTATTTACCTGGTCAAGGCCTATGATACCATCAGTAGGCCTGGGCTCTGAGTAGTTCTTCGTGCTTTTGGAGTACCTGACCCTCTGCTCACGATCATTAAGAACCTTCATGATGGTGAGCGGGCCCGGGTAAAACTACGTGGCCGGGAGTCAGAGCCATTCCCTGTACACCTTGGGGTGCGACAGGGATGTCCTCTGGCTCCCACATTATTTAACATCTATTTTGACCACGTAGTTCGTGAAGCCTTTAAAAGCTTTACCGGGGGAATCTCCATATGGCAGATATAATGGGAGGCTGATCGATGCCCGGGTGCGGTCTAGGGATGGCTCCCTATTGGTCAACCACGTTATGTATGCCGATGATTTGGTAATAGCCGCTCATTCAGAGGAGGAGTTGGAGATGCTACTGCTGAGACTGGAGCGTGCCACTAAGAGGTGGGGCCTTACCATCAGCCCCACCAAAACTAAGCACCTGCCTGGGTATTTGTACCATCGGACACTCCACCCCCACAATTCCCAATCGGTGATGGGGCAGTTGTGGAGAGAGTGGAGAGTTTCCCATACCTGGGCAGTGTGCTTATGACCGGCTCCAGTTTAACAGCAGAGGTCTCACCCCGAATCAATCGAGCGGCAATATCTTTTCATCGGTTGTGTAACGCTGTGTGAAAGCTACCTGGTCTGTCGCTCCGCACTAAGCTTCAGTTCTTCTCGGCCACGGTCATTCCCTCCCTTCTCTACGCTTGCAAAACGTGGACCCCCCTAATGGAACATCTTCGCCGGTTAGAAACATTTAGGCTGGCCTGCCTACGATCCATCCTGGGTTTAACCAGACTGGATTGTGTGAGGAGCTCACAAATCCTTGAAAGATCTGGGCAAGGTCCCATCGGTGAGCTCCTCCGGCGGGCAAGGCTGCGATGGCTGGGTCATGTAGCCCGCATGCCCAGCCACCGCATGCCGAAACAGCTTTTGTTCGGCCGGATTGAGGGGGCAAAGCGGGCGCGGCACGGGCTAGAGAAGAGATGGAGTGATGTGGTACAGGAGGACGTGGAGCTGAGTGGACTTGCCGATGACTGGTACCAGCGGTGTCAAGATCGGCCTCTGTGGAGGAGGCTCGTGAAGGATGCTACTGGGCAGTTGGAGGCAGTCGCCCTCCAACAACAACGGAGGGCGGAGGAGCGACGCTCACAACAACGAGCGGAGCGCCGGGCGGCTAAAGCACAGCAGGTTGACACAGTAGGGGGCACAGGTGGTGCATCAGCCAGTCATCTCAGTCAGTCGACCCGTGGCACCTGGGTCTGCCCCGTGACCTCCTGCCAGCGGGCGTTCGACACTTCGCGTGGCCTCAGGGTGCACATAGCCTGGCACAAGCGTCGTGGTGACGTCACCGCCACTTAGTGGCGAATGGAGTTGTTGTTGTTGTTGTGTGTGTGTCTGTGTGTGTGTCTGTGTATGTGTATCCGTGTGTCTGTGTGTGTGTCTGTGTGTGTCTCTAGTCTTTGTCTAAGGAGCGGTAGTACTCTGTGAGCACTCTCCAGGCACGCGTGGACATGAACCCCTCCGGAGGGTCCACCGCCTCACGCGCCATCTTACGCATGCGCGTGCCGGAGATGAAGTCAAACTCGGCATGGCTACACACACACAGACACACACACAGACACACACACAGACACACACACAGACACACACACAGACACACACACAGACACACACACAGACAGACTCACAGACACACACACAGACACACACACACAGACACACACACACATGGAGAGAGACACACACAGACACACACACACAGACACATACATGGAGAGACACACACACAGATACACACACACAGATACACACACACAGATACACAAATAGACACACACAGACACACACAGACACACACATGGAGAGAGACAGTGTTATCACCGGGGAGACAGAGACACCGTGAGACAGAAAGACACAGACAGAGACATGGAGAGAGAGACAGACAGAGAGACTATCCAAGCCATGCCACTTAATCTCACCCCAACTCACCACCCCAACTCACCACTCACCACCCCACTCACCATCCCACTCACCACTCACCACCCCACTCACCAACCCCACTCACCACCCCACTCACCATCCCACTCACCACTCACCACCCCACTCACCACCCCCACTCACCACTCACCACCCCACTCACCACCCCACTCACCACTCACCACCCCACTCACCACCCCCACTCACCACTCACCACCCCCACTCACCACTCACCACCCCCACTCACCACTCACCACCCCCACTCACCACTCACCACCCTCACTCACCACCCCCACTCACCACTCACCACCCCCACTCACCGCTCACCCCTCACCACTCACCGCTCACCACTCACCACTCACCACCCCACTCACCACTCACCATCCCACTCACCACCCCCACTCTCACCACTCACCACCCCCACTCACCCCTCACCACTCACCACTCACCACCCACACTCACCGCTCACCCCTCACCACCCCACTCACCACCCCCACTCACCCCCACTCACCACCCCACTCACCACCCCACTCACCACTCACCACCCCACTCACCACCCCCACTCACCACTCACCACCCTCACTCACCACCCCACACACCACCCCACTCACCACCCCCACTCACCCCCACTCACCACCCCACTCACCACCCCCACTCACCACCCCACTCACCACCCCCACTCACCCCCACTCACCACCCCACTAACCACCCCCACTCACCCCCACTCACCACCCCACTCACCACCCCACTCACCCCCACTCACCACCCCACTCACCACCCCACTCACCACCCCACTCATCCCTCACCACCCCCACTCACCCCCACTCACCACCCCACTAACCACCCCCACTCACCCCCACTCACCACCCCACTCACCACCCCACCCACCACTCACCACCCCACTCACCACCCCACTCACCACCCCACTCACCACCCCACTCATCCCTCACCACCCCACTCACCACTCCACTCACCACCCCACTCACCACCCCACTCACCCCTCACCACCCCACTCACCACCCCACTCACCACCCCACTCACCACTCACCACCCCACTCACCACCCCACTCACCACCCCACTCACCACTCACCACCCCCACTCACCACTCACCACCCCACTCACCACTCACCGCCCCACTCACCGCTCAGCGTCGTAGAACTCCATCTGCCGGGTGGCCGTGTTGTAGGCAGCCACTCTGAAGGGGATCACCTCCAGCGACGTGAGGCCAGGAGCCATCGTCAGTACCTGTAGACACCATCAGTCAGTCAGTCACTCAGTCAGTCACTCAGTCAGTCAGTCACTCAGTCAGTCAGTCAGGGAGCCACTCAGTCACTCAGTCAGTCACTCAGTCAGTCACTCAGTCAGTCACTCACTCAGTCAGTCGCTCAGTCAGTCACTCAGTCAGTCAGTCAGGGAGCCACTCAGTCACTCAGTCAGTCAGCCACTCTGAAGGGCATCACCTCCAGCGACGTGAGGCCAGGAGCCATCGTCAGTACCTGTAGACACCATCAGTCAGTCACTCAGTCAGTCACTAAGTCACTCACTCAGTCACTCAGTCAGTCACTCAGTCAGTCACTCAGTCAGTCACTCACTCAGTCAGTCAGTCACTCAGTCAGTCACTCAGTCAGCCACTCTGAAGGGGATCACCTCCAGCGACGTGAGGCCAGGAGCCATCGTCAGTACCTGTAGACACCATCAGTCAGTCAGTCACTCAGTCAGTCACTCAGTCAGTCAGTCACTCAGTCAGTCAGTCAGTCACTCAGTCAGTCACTCAGTCAGTCACTCTCACGGGGATCACCTCCAGCGACGTGAGGCCAGGAGCCATCGTCAGTACCTGTAGACACCATCAGCCAGTCACTCAGTCACTCAGTCAGTCACTCAATCAGTCAGTTAGTCACTCAGTCAGTCAGTCCGTCAGTCACTCAGTCACTCAGTCAGTCACTCAATCAGTCAGTTAGTCACTCAGTCACTCAGTCAGTCAGTCACTCAGTCACTCAGTCAGTCACTCAGTGAGCCACTCTCACGGGGATCACCTCCAGCGACGTGAGGCCAGGAGCCATCGTCAGTACCTGTAGACACCATCAGGCAGTCACTCAGTCAGTCAGTCAGGGAGCCACTCAGTCACTCAGTCAGTCAGTCACTCAGTCAGTCACTCAGTCACTCACTCAGTCACTCAGTCACTCACTCAGTCACTCAGTCAGTCAGTCACTCAGTCAGTCACTCAGTCAGTCACTCTCACGGGGATCACCTCCAGCGACGTGAGGCCAGGAGCCATCGTCAGTACCTGTAGACACCATCAGTCAGTCAGTCACTCAGTCAGTCAGTCACTCAGTCAGTCAGGGAGCCACTCAGTCACTCAGTCAGTCACTCAGTCAGTCACTCAGTCAGTCAGTCAGTCACCACTCACCCACCCACTCACCCACCCACCCCCCCACCACCACCCCCCCACCCCCCCCCCACCACCCCCCCCCCACCACCCCCCCCACCACCCCCCCACCTTAGCTCCGTGTGAGTGGTCGTAGAGATCCACTCCGCTCTCAGGGTGAGGCATCCCCGCTGGGTCTCGCCCCACGATGTAGAAGTTCGCTCCGGCAACCATCCGGCAGCGGCAGTGCCACTGAACCTGGTGGGGCATCATCACCATCACCATCATCACCAACATCACCATCATCACCATCATCACCATCATTACCACCACCATCATAACCATCATTACCATCATCACCATCATCATCATCACCATCATCACCACCATCACCCACTCACTCAACCCACCCACCCACCCACGCTCACCTCCGTAGGCCCGGCGTACATCATGGGCGAGGGGAAGATGGCGAGCACGGTGGTGAGCGGGTCCAGGACGCCGTCCTCCATGAGTGCGGCATGCTGCCGCATGCGCCAGGCCAGCGGCACGTCGTCCTCCTTGGTCCAGCCGCCCAGCGGGTGCAGCAGCAGCACGGGGGAGCGGTACCCGCGGTCACGCAGGCGTCGCCGCGTGTCGCTCATCAGCAGCGCGTGCCCGTTGTGCACCGGGTTGCGGAGCTGGAAGGCGAAGACCGCGTCTGGGGTAGGGGAGAGAGACGGGGGGACGGTGGGGGAGTTAGACACGCAGAGAGACACACACAGAGACACACACAGACACGCGGAGAGACACAGAGACACACAGAGACACGCAGAGAGAGACAGACACACAGAGAGACACACAGAGAGACACACACAGGCACGCAGAGAGACAAACAGAGAGACACGCGGAGAAAGACACAGACACACAGAGAGGCACAAAGACACACAGATAGACACACAGAGAGACACACAGAGAGACACACACAGACACACGGAGACACAGACACACAGACACACAGACAGACACACAGACACGCAGACAGACACACACAGAGACACACACAGACACGCAGAGGCACAGAGAGACACACAGAGAGACACACGGAGAGAGACAGACACACAGAGAGACACACAGACACACAGATAGACACAGAGAGATACACACAGAGACACACACAGAGACACACAGAGAGACACATAGAGAGAGACAGACACACAGAGAGACACACAGAGACACACACAGAGACACACAGAGAGACACACAGAGAGAGACACACACAGAGAGACACACAGAGACACACACAGAGACACACAGAGAGACACACAGAGAGAGACACACACAGAGAGACACACAGAGACACACACAGAGACACACAGAGAGACACACAGAGAGACACACAGAGAGAGACACACACAGATAGACACACAGACACACACACAGACACACACACACAGACACACAGAGACACACATAGACACACAGAGACACACACACAGACACAGACAGACATAGACACATAGACACACACAGACATAGACACACACACACAGACACACACACACAGACACACACATAGACACACACACAGACACACACAGAAACACAGAGACACACACAGACATAGACAGACAGAGGTGCCCTCTCCGTGGCGGTATGGCTGACCGGCGTTGAGTTGACGGAACTTTGTGCGCAGCTCAGCGGGCGTCAGTCGGTACTCGTCAAGACCGTCACCCCAGCGGATTCGCTCCGGCACCTCCAAGTCACCGCCCACTAGCCAATCGCCACTCTGTAGCACCATCTGGTGGAGATGGGGAGAGATGGGGGGAGATGGGGGGGAGATGGGGGGGGAGATGGGCGTAAGTCGGTACTCGTCAAGGCCGTCACCGCCCACAAGCCACTCGCCACTCTGTAGCACCATCTGGTGGATATGGGGGGTAGTGTTAGAGTTGTTAGAGTTGTTAGTGTTGTTGTTGTGGTGGTTGTTGTCACCTTGATGTAGGGGTGTTCCTTGCAGGTGGTGCCCCACTGCCTGGCACAGCGCTCCTCCTTGCGGTGCGGAAAGAACTCCAAATTACGCAGCACAGCGACTTTCACCCCCTGTGACACACACACAGACACACACAGACACACACACACAGACACACAATCACTGTGTGTGTGTATCACTGTGTGTGTGTGTGTGTGTATCACTGTGTGTGTGTGTGTGTATCACTGTGTGTGTATCGCTGTGTATCACTGTGTGTGAGTACATGTGCGTACCACTGTGTGTGTGTCACTGTGTGTATGTGTATGAGTACGTGTGTGTATCACTGTGTGTGTGTGTATCACTGTGTATCACTGTGTGTGAGTACGTGTGTGTATCACTGTGTGTGTGTATCACTGTGTGTGTCACTGTGTGTGTGTGTGAGTACGTGTGTGTATCACTGTTGGGAGCTGGACCGGTACTGCCTGGATCTCTGTGGCATTCAGGAGGTCCGGTGGACCGGTTCTGGCTCCTGCCACCATGAGGGGTGGACAGTCCTCTACTCGGGGCAGCAGATTGCCAAACAAAAGGGTGTGGCTCTTTTTTTGAACAAAAGAATGAAGGGGGCGTGGGAGCGTGGCGGTGAGGTGTAGGAAGCTGTAAGCCCCAAGCTACTTTGGGCTCGCCTTCCCATCAACCGGAGGCGAGGAGTGGTGGTCGTGGTTACTTATGCCCACACCAAAGACGAACATCCGTGGAGGGATGCAGGCAAAGCCGATGAGTCAGATGGCTTCTATGACCTGTCACAGGTGCTGGCTAAAGTGGCCCCTCGGATGGAGTCATCATGTTGGGTGACTTCAATGCCCGAGTTGGTCATGATGCTGGCACCTGGTCTGGAGTGATTGGAGGACATGGGCCAGATCAGCTCAATAACAACGGTAGGAGGCTGCTAGATTTTTGTGCAGCCCATGGGCTTGTACTTACCAACACGCTGTTCCGGCACCGGTGCATCCACACAACATCATGGATGCATGCCGGGTCCAAGCAAGAACATCTGCTGGACTACATAGTGATGGACCAGAGCATGCGAGCCCATGTCCTTGACACCAGTACCTACCGTGGAGCTTATCTGCCCTCTGACCATCGACTAGTCATCTGTAAGATGCGCCTGCCATTCTTCCACTCCGGCGGTGGGTGTACACCCAGGACCCCATTCCAAACTAAAGTGGCCTGGTCTAAGTTATCTGATGAAAGTTGCAAGCGAGAATTTTATCATCGCTTGCTGCTGGGGCTGGCATCATCCCACACTCCTCCTGATGTCAAGGGTAAATGGGCGAGGTTAAGGACTGTGACTCAAGCAGCTGCAATGGCTGCTTTGGGTATGTGGTCCAGACCTCCCCAGAGACCCTGGCTGACAGAAGAGGTGTTCAGGATGGTTGAGAAAAAGCGACATGCCCACTGTCATCGGCTACAGAATCCCACGTCAGAGAATGAGGAGGCTTACCGCAGCTTTCGCTCGGATGTTCGGAGAGCCGTGAGGCGCTGAAGGATGGGTGGTGGTCGCGGGTTGCTGAGGAGATGGAGTCTGCCTCAGTGGCCCGCGATCACAAATCTCTATTTAACTCCATCAAAAACGTAAACTGCAGCACCACACCTATTGCCATCATTTGGGGAAAAAACGGTGATCCAATCTCCAACCCCCAGGAACAGGTTTGCAGATTTGCTGAGCATTTGTGTGAGGTCCTGGGGGAGGGGAAATCCATCAGCCAGGAAAACATCGTGGCACAAAGTGGGATGACCCTGCTGAGGCTGCGGTGCCTCAAATATGGGAAGAAGTCACCCCCTGTGAGTGGCTGGCTGAGGTGCCATCTGTTGAGGAAGTACTGAAGGTGATCCGGAGTCTGAGACCAGGAAAGGCACCGGGAAGAGATGATCTCCCAAGCGAAATGCTGAGGGAAGGTGGCGTTTGTGCACAGACTGCCCTATATGACATCATAACAACAGTCTGGACCACTGGACGGGTTCCGCAGGATTGGATGAATGCCCTGGCGGTCTCCCTCTTGAAGAAGCGGGACCCACAGACTGTAACAACTACAGGGGTATCTCACTCCTCAGTGTGCCGGGAAAGGTCCTGGAAAAGATTATTCAACATCGCCTTGCCAGGCATGCTGAAGAGAGGCTTGTGGAGCCCCAATGCAGTTTCAGGAAAGGGCGGTCCTGCACAGATGCCATATTTTCTGTCCGTCTGCTACAGCAGAGGTGTATCGAATTCCAGCAAGACCTACATCTCTGCTTTATTGACCTGGTCAAGGCCTATGATACCATCAGTAGGCCTGGGCTCTTGGTTGTTATTCGTACTTTAGGAGTCCCTGACCCTCTGCTCACGATCATTAACGACCTTCATGATGGTGAGCGGGCCCGGGTAAAACTAGGTGGCTGGGAGTCAGAGCCATTCCCTGTACACCTTGGGGTGCGACAGGGATGTCCTCTGGCTCCCACATTATTTAACATCTATTTTGACCACGTAGTTCGTGAAGCCTTCAATAGCTGTACCGGGGGAATCTCCATTTGGTACAGATATAATGGGAGGCTGATCGATGCCCAGGTGCGGTCAAGGGATGGCTCCCTATTGCTCAACCACGTTATGTATGCCGATGATTTGGTAATAGCTGCTCATTCAGAGGAGGAGTTGGAGACGCTGCTGCTGAGACTGGAGCGTGCCACTAAGAGATGGGGCCTTATCATCAGCTCCACCAAAACTAAGCACCTGCCTGGGTATTTTGTACCATCGGACACTCCACCCCCACAACTCCCAATCGGTGATGGGGCAGTTGTGGAGAGAGTGGAGAGTTTCCCATACCTGGGCAGTGTGCTTATGACTGGCTCCAGGTTAACAGCACAGGTCTCACTCTGAATCAGTCGAGCGGCAATATCTTTTCATCGGTTGCGTAACGCTGTGTGGAAGCTATCTGGTCTGTCGCTCCGCACTAAGCTTCAGGTCTTCTCGGCCACGGTCATTCCCTCCCTTCTCTACGCTTGCAAAACGTGGACCCCCCTAATGGAACATCTTCGCCGGTTAGAAACATTTAGGCTGGCCTGCCTACGATCCATCCTGGGTTTAACCAGACTGGATCGTGTGAGGAGCTCACAAATCCTTGAAAGATCTGGGCAAGGTCCCATCGGTGAGCTCCTCCGGCGGGCAAGGCTGCGAAGGCTGGGTCATGTAGCCCGCATGCCCAGCCACCGCATGCCGAAACAGCTTTTGTTCGGCCGGATCGAGGGGGCTAAACGTGCGCGGCACGGGCTAGAGAAGAGATGGAGTGATGTGGTGCAGGAGGACGTAGAGCTGAGTGGACTTGCCGATGACTGGTACCAGCGGTGTCAAGATCGGCCTCTGTGGAGGAGGCTCGTGAAGGACGCTACTGGGCAGTTGGAGGTAGTCGCCCTCCAACAACAACGGAGGGTGGAGGAGCGACGCTCAGAACAACGAGCGGAGCGCCGGGTGGCTAAAGCACAGCAGGTTGGCACAGTAGGGGGCACAGGTGGTGCATCAGCCAGTCATCTCAGTCAGTCGACCCATGGCACCTGGGTCTGCCCCGTGACCTCCTGCCAGCGGGCGTTCGACACTTCACGTGGCCTCAGGGTGCACATAGCCTGGCACAAGCGTCGTGGTGACGTCACCGCCACTTAGTGGCGAATGGCGGTTGTTGTTGTTGTTGTGTGTGTATCACACTCTGTGTGTGTGTATCACTGTGTGTGTATCACACTCTGTGTGTGTGTACCTGGTATGCGAGGGCGATGGCCGCACTTCCCTCTAGCCGCTGTTTGTCCTCCGTGGACACGGGAAGCACCACAGGGACAGACAGATTCATCACCCCACCTGTGAGACACGGCAGGTAGACACAGAGTAGTCGGTGAGTGAGTAAGTGAGTGGGTGAGTGGGTGAGTGGGTGGGTGAGTGGTGAGTGAGTGAGTGGGTGAGTGGGTGAGTGGTGAGTGAGTGAGTGGGTGAGTGGGTGGGTGAGTGGGTGAGTGGGTGGGTGAGTGGTGAGTGAGTGAGTGGGTGAGTGAGTGGGTGAGTGGGTGAGTGGGTGAGTGAGTGCGTGAGTGGGTGAGTGAGTGAGTGGGTGAGTGGGTGAGTGGTGAGTGAGTGAGTGGGTGAGTGGGTGGGTGAGTGAGTGAGTGAGTGTGTGAGTGAGTGGGTGTGTGAGTGAGTGGGTGAGTGAGTGTGTGAGTGGGTGAGTGAGTGTGTGAGTGGGTGAGTGAATGTGTGAGTGAGTGGGTGAGTGAGTGGATGAGTGATGAGTGAGTGAGTGGGTGAGTGGGTGAGTGGGTGGGTGAGTGGGTGAGTGAGTGAGTGGTGAGTGAGTGAGTGAGTGGGAGAGTGGGTGAGTGAGTGAGTGGGTGAGTGGGTGAGTGAGTGAGTGGGTGAGTGAGTGAGTGGGTGAGTGGGTGAGTAAGTGAGTGAGTGAGTGGGTGAGTGGGTGAGTGGTGAGTGAGTGAGTGGGTGGGTGAGTGGGTGAGTGAGTGAGTGGGTGAGTGGGTGAGTGAGTGAGTGGGTGAGTGGGTGAGTGAGTGGGTGAGTGGGTGAGTGGGTGAGTGAGTGGGTGAGTGGTGAGTGAATAAGTGAGTGGGTGGGTGAGTGAGTGAGTGGGTGAGTGGTGAGTGAGTGAGTGAGTGGGTGAGTGAGTGGGTAAGTGGGTGAGTGAGTGGGTGAGTGGTGAGTGAGTGAGTGAGAGGGTGAGTGGGTGAGTGAGTGGCTGAGTGAGTGATTGGGTGAGTGGGTGAGTGAGTGAGTGGCTGAGTGGGTGATTGGGTGGGTGAGTGAGTGGATGATTGGGTGGGTGAGTGAGTGTGGGTGAGTGGGTGGGTGGGTAAGTGGGTGAGTGAGTGAGTTAGTGTGTGAGTGGGTGAGTGAGTGAGTGAGTGGGTGAGTGAGTGAGTGCGTGGGTGAGTGAGTGAGTGAGTGGGTGAGTGAGTGAGTGAGTGGGTGAGTGAGTGGGTGAGTGAGTGGGTGAGTGAGTGAGTGAGTGTGTGAATGGGTGGGTGAGTGGAAGAGGCAGTGAGTGGGTGAGTGTTTGAGTGGTGAGTGAGTGGTGAGCACCATCAAGCAGGCAGTTGAAGTGTAGACACTGCAAGTACTCCCTCTCACGCATGAAGCCAGCCAGAGGCGTAGCCCAGCCCTCAGACAGCACCTGCACCCACTGCAGGTCCAACTGCACAAAGACAAATATCACTCACTCACCCACTCACACACTCATTCACTCACACACTCACTCACTCACACACTCACTCACTCACACACCCACTCACTCACACAGTCACTCACTCACCCACTCACACACTCACTCACTCACCCACCCACTCACTCACACACTCACTCACACACCCACTCACTCACGCACTCACTCACTCACTCACACACTCACTCACGCACTCACTCACTCACTCACACACTCACTCACACACTCACTCACTCACTCACATACCCACTCACTCACTCACACACTCACTCACTCACCCACACACTCACTCACCCACACACTCACTCACGCACGCACTCACTCACTCACTCACACACTCACTCACTCACACACTCACTCACTCACTCACCCACACACTCACTCACACACCCACTCACTCACACACTCACTCACTCACTCACCCACACACTCACTCACACACCCACTCACTCACACACTCACTCACCCACACACTCACACACTCACTCACAGACCCACTCACTCACTCACCCACACACTCACCCACTCACTCACTCACTCACCCACACACTCACCTCTGTGATGCTCAGTGTGGGCAGGTTTTGCATCTCGGCCTGCAGGCCGCTGACGGCGTTCTCAGCTGCGAAGAGTTCCTTGACTTCCACTGTGGCAGACATGGGAACTATACCCTGTGTGTGTGACACACACAGTGACACACACAGTGACACACACAGTGAGTGACACAGTGAGTGACACAGTGACACACAAAGTGACACACACAGTGATACACACAGTGATACACACAGTGACACACACAGTGACACACACACAGTGACACGCACAGTGACACACACACACAGTGACACACCCAGTGAGTGACACAGTGAGTGACACACACAGTGACACACACAGTGAGTGACACACACAGTGAGTGACACAGTGAGTGACACACACAGTGACACAGTGAGTGACACAGTGACAGTGAGTGACAAGGTGACACACACAGTGACACACACAGTGAGTGACACACACAGTGAGTGACACAGTGAGTGACACAATGAGTGACACAGTGAGTGACACAGTGAGTGAGTGACACAGTAAGTGACACACACAGTGAGTGACACAGTGAGTGAGTGACACAGTGAGTGACACAGTGAGTGAGTGATTTACCCTCTCCTACAAGAGCTCCACTATCCGCATGACACACACAGTGAGTAACACAGTGAGTGACACACACAGTGAGTGACACAGTGAGTGACACAGTGAGTGACACACACAGTGAGTGACGCAGTGAGTGACACAGTGAGTAACACAGTGAGTGACACACACAGTGAGTGACACAGTGAGTGACACAGTGAGTGACACAGTGAGTGACACAATGAGTGAGTGTTTTACCCCCTCCTGCAAGAGCTCCACTATCCGCATGACACATTCGTCGATGGTCGTTTCGCTCGTCTTGAGCACGAGGTCCGGAGTCTCCGGCTTGTCGTACGTAGAGTCAATACCGGTGAAGCCTGCACACACACAGTCACACACAGTCACACACACAGTGTACACAGTGTACACACACACACACAGGCACACACACAGTCACACACAGTCACACACACAGTCACACACAGTCACACAGACACATACACACACAGTATACACACAGTCACACACAGTCACACACAGTCACACAGACACATACACACACAGTCACACACAGTCACACACAGTCACACAGACACATACATACACAGTGTACACACAGTCACACACAGTCACACACAGTCACACAGACAGATACACACACAGTGTACACACATACAGTCACACACAGTCACACACAGTCACACAGACACATACACTCACAGTATACACACAGTCACACACAGTCACACACAGTCACACAGACACATACACACACAGTATACACACAGTCACACACAGTCACACACACACAGGCACACACACAGTCACACACAGTCACACACAGTCACACAGACACATACACACACAGTATACACACAGTCACACACAGTCACACACACACAGGCACACACACAGGCACACACACAGTCACACACAGTCACACACAGTCACACAGACACATACTCACACAGTGTACACACATACAGTGTACACAGTGTACACACACACAGTCACACACAGTCACACAGACAGATACACACACAGTGTACACACACACAGTGTACAAAGTGTACACACACACAGGCACACGCACAGTCACACACAGTCACACACAGTCACACAGACAGATACACACAGTGTACACACACACAGTGAACACAGTGTACACACACACAGTGTACACAGTGTACACACACACAGTGTACACAGTGTACACACACACACACAGGCACACACGCACAGTCACACACAGTCACACACAGTCACACAGACAGATACACACACAGTGTACACACACACAGTGTACACAGTCACACAGACAGATACACACAGTGTACACACACAGTGTACACACACAGTCACACACAGTCACACAGACACATACACACACAGTGTACACACACACAGTCACACACAGCCACACAGACAGATACACACAGTGTACACACACACAATGTACACAGCGTACACACACAGTGTACACTGTGTACACACACACACAAACAGGCACACACACAGTCACACAGACAGATGCACACACAGTGTACACACACACAGTGTACACAGTGTACACACACACACAGGCACACACGCACAGTCACACACAGTCACACACAGTCACACGGACAGATACACAGTGTACACACACAAACAGGCACACACGCACAGTCACACACAGTCACACAGACAGATGCACACACAGTGTACACACACACAGTGTACACAGTGTACACACATACACAGGCACACACGCACAGTCACACACAGTCACACACAGTTACACGGACAGATACTCACACAGTGTACACACACACAGTGTACACAGTGTACACACACAGGCACACACAGTCACACACACACACAGTCACATACAGTCACACACAGTCACACAGACAGATACACAGTGTACACAAACAGTGTGTACACTGTGTACACACACACACAGGCACACACACAGTCACACACAGTCACACACACTCACACACAGTGTACACATACACACACAGTGTACACAGTGTACACACACACAGGCACACACGCACAGTCACACACAGTGACACACAGTCACACACAGGATACACACAGTCACACACAGTCACACACACTCAAACACACTCACACACAGTCACACAGACACACACACACAGTGTACACACACACACAGTGTACACGCACACACAGTCACACACACACAATCACACACACAGTGTACACACACACACACACAGTCACACACAGTGTACACACACTCACACACAGTCACACACACACACAGTCACACACACAGTCACACACAGTCACAGACACACCACAGTGTACACACACACAGTCACACACACAGTCACACAGTGTACAGACACACAGTGTATACACACACAGACACACACACAGTGTACACACACACACAGGCACACACACACACGTGTACACACAAACACACAAAGATCCCCCGTGTAGCCTGTAACAGGCTGTAGGGGCAAGTGCTGCTAGCGAGCAGCACCTGTGAAGGCCACCGGCACGGCACAGGAGGGGGTGGGTGGCCAGCACCACCACCACTACACCACCACTACACCACCACCACCACTACACCACCACCACCACTACACCACCACCACCACTACACCACCACCACACCACCACTACACCACCACCACTACACTACACCACCACTACCACTACACCAAGACTACACCACCACGACACCACCACCACCACCACTACACCACCACCAATACACCACCGCTACATCGCTACACCAGGTACTCATTTGAGGCTGAGCCGACCTAGGGGAGGCCCAAGACCGGTTGAGAGAATCGTCACTGGTGTTGTTGGCCGTGAGCGGGAACTGAACTCGGGTCGTCGGGTTCATAGCGCAGCGTAGCGCTAACCACTACACTGGTCCGGGAAAAACAACCCCATATCTCCTCGTGGTGCCGGACGGCAACACTGTGGTGGGCAGTGCCGTGGGGGAGGGCCAACTGAGATGGCCTTACCCCTCATGGCGTTTGTAGCCACCACAGTGGCCAAATGGGGGCTCTGGATGGGTACGAGGGGCTGGTAACCCCTCCACCTTCAATAAATTACCAGTAATCCACGAATAAGCTTGTGCCTGAGGCCCCGGGGGGACAGGCATCTATGACGTCTCCTGGCCAAACCCCATTTGGCGGAGCCAGGAGATTGGGGCTCCTCCAGAAACAACGAAAAGCCACTACGGATGGCCAAGTGGAATGTTCGAACACTCACTGCGGAGGAGAGGCTGCCACTCCTCTGTCGGGAGCTGGACCGGTACCACCTGGATCTCTGTGGCATTCAGGAGGTCCGGTGGACCGGCTCTGGCTCCTGCCACCATGAGGGGTGGACAGTCCTCTACTCGGGGCAGGAGACTACCAAACAACAGGGTGAGGCTCTTCTTCAAAATAATGAAGGGGGCGTGGGAGCATGGTGGTGAGGTGTGGGAAGCTGTAAGCCCCAGGCTACTTTGGGCTCGCCTTCCCATCAACCGGAGGCGAGGAGTGGTGGTCGTGGTTATTTATGCCCCCACCGAATACGAACATCCGTGGAGGGATGCAGGCAAAGCCGATGAGTCAGATGCCTTCTATGACCTCCTGTCAAAGGTGCTGGCTAAAGTGGCCCCTCGGATGGAGTCATCATGTTGGGTGACTTCAATGCCCGAGTTGGTCATGATACTGGCACCTGGTCTGGAGTGATTGGAGGGCATGGGTCAGATCAGCTCAATAACAACAGCAGGAGGCTGCTAGATTTTTGTGCAGCCCATGGGCTTGTAATTACCAACACACTGTTCCGGCATCGGCGCATCCACACAACTTCATGGATGCATGCCGGGTCCAAGCAAGAACATCTGCTACACTACGTAGTGATGGAACAGCTGGGAAATAGGCAAGGCTTAGGACCGTGGCTCATGCAGCTGCAATGGCTGCTTTGGGTACACGGTCCAGACCTCCCCAGAGATCCTGGCTGACAGAGGAGGTGTTCAGACTGGCTGAGAAAAAGCGACAGGCCCACTGTCATCGGCTACAGAATCCCACGTCGGAGAATGAGGAGGCTTACCGCAGCCTTCGCTCGGAGGTTTGGAGAGCCGTGAGGCTCTGCAAGGATGGGTGGTGGTCACGGGTTGCTGAGGAGATGGAGTCTGCCTCAATGGCCCGCGATCACAAATCGCTCACTAACTCCATCAAAAAAGTAACCTGCAGCGCCACACCTATTACCATCATTAGGGGAAAGAACGGTGATCCAATCGCCAACCGCCAGGAACAGGTTTGCAGATTTGCTGAGCATTTCTGTGAAGTCCTGGGGGAGGGGAAATCCCTCAGCCAGGAAAACATCGTGGCACAAAGTGGGGATGTCCCTGCTGAGGCTGCGGTGCCTCAAATATTGGAAGAAGTCACCGCCTGTGAGTGGCTGGCTGAGGTGCCATCTGTTGAGGAAGTACTGAAGGCGATCCGGAGTCTGAGACCAGGAAAGGCACCGAGCAGATATGATCTCCCAAGCGAAATGCTGAGGGAGGGTGGCGTTTGCGCGCAGACTGCCCTATATGACATCATAACAGCGGTCTTGATCACTGGACGGGTTCCACAGGATTGGAAGGATGCCCTGGTGGTCCCCCTCTCTAAGAAGGGGGACCGCACAGACTGTAACAACTACAGGGGCATCTCACTCCTCAGTGTGCCGGGAAAGGTCCTGGCAAGGATTATTCAACATTGCCTTGCTAGGCACGCTGAGGAGAGGCTTGCGGAGCCCCAATGCGGTTTCAGGAAACGGTGGTCCTGCATAGATGCCATATTTTCTGTCCGTCTGCAACAGCAGAGGTGTAGGAAATTCCAACAAAACTTACATCTCTGCTTTATAGACCTGGTCAAGGCCTATGATACCGGTTAGTAACATTGTGGCTGGCCTGCCTATGATCCATCCTGGGTTTAACCAGACTGGATTGTGTGAGGAGCTCACAAATCCTTGAAAGATCTGGGCAAGGTCCCATCGGTGAGCTCCTCCGGCGGGCAAGGCTGCGATGGCTGGGTCATGTAGCCCGCATGCTCAGCCACCGCATGCCTAAACAGCTTTTGTTCGGCCGGATCGAGGGGGCTAAACGGGCGCGGTACGGGCTAGCGAAGAGATGGAGTGATGTGGTACAGGAGGACGTGGAGCTGAGTGGACTTGCCGATGACTGGTACCAGCGGTGTCAAGATCGGCCTCTGTGGAGGAGGCTCGTGAAGGACGCTACTGTGCAGTTGGAGGTAGTCGCCCTCCAACAACAACGGAGGGCGGAGGAGCGACACTCACAAAAACGAGCGGAGCGCCGGGTGGCTAAAGCACAACCGGTTGGCACAGTAGGGGGCACAGTTGGTGCATCAGCCAGTCATCTCAGTCAGTTGAGCTGTGGCACCTGGGTCTGCCCCGTGACCTCCTGCCAGCGGGCGTTCGACACTCCACGTGGCCTCAAGGTGCACATGTCCTGGCACAAGCGTCGTGGTGACGTCACCGCCACTTAGTGGCGAATGGCGGTTGTTGTTGTGTCTGTGTGTGTGTCTGTGTCTGTGTGTCTGTGTCTGTGTGTCTGTGTGTCTGTCTGTGTGTCTGTGTGTGTGTGTCTGTGTGTCTGTGTGTGACTGTGTGTGTCTGTGTGTGTGACTGTGTGTGTCTGTGTCTGTGTGTCTGTGTGTGTGTCTGTGTCTGTGTGTCTGTGTGTGTGTCTGTGTGTCTGTGTGTCTCACCCTTGATCTCGCCGGCTCTGGCCTTCTTGTAGAGGCCTTTCACGTCTCGTTGCTCACAAACCTCCAGCGGAGCGTCCACAAAGAGCTCAAAGAACGGCAGCCCAGCGTCAGAGTGGATCTTACGGGCATTCTCACGGTCCTACATAGATACACACACAGACACACACATATAGACACACACATAGACACACACATAGACACACACACACACAGACACACACACACACACATAGACATACACACACATAGACACACACACACACATAGACACACAGATATAGACACATAGACACACACACAAAGACACACACACATAGACAGATAGACACACATAGACACACACACACACATAGACACACACACACATTGACACACACACATAGACACACACACACAGACACACACACACATAGACACACACAGATATAGACACATAGCCACACATAGACACACACACACACACATAGACACACAGACACACAGACACACACACACATAGACACACACAGACACACACACGCAGATATAGACACATAGACACACATACACACACATAGACACACACACATAGACACACACACACATAGACACACACATAGACACACACACAAATAGACACACACACATAGACACACACAGATATAGACACATAGACACACACAGTGACTGACTGAGTGACTGACTGAGTGACTAAGCGACTAAGTGACTGACTAAGTGACTGACTGAGTGACTAACTGACTGAATGACTGACTGAGTGACTGACTGACTAAGTGACTGACTAAGTGACTGACTGAGTGACTGAGTGACTGACTGAGTGAGTGACTGAGTGACTGATTGAGTGACTGACTAAGTGACTGACTGAGTGACTGACTGAGTGACTGAGTGACTGACTGAGTGACTGACTGAGTGACTAGTTACCTGCTGGTAGAGCGAGATGAATGAGGTGATGCACACCAGCCCGGCGTGTGACTGACTGAGTGAGTGACTGACTGAGTGAGTGAGTGACTGACTGACTGAGTGAGTGACTGACTGAGTGTGCAACTGACTGAGCGAGTGAGTGACTGACTGAGTGACTGAGTGTGTAACTGAGTGAGTGACTGACTAAGTGATTGACTGAGTGATTGACTGAGTGGCTGACCGCGTGACTGACTGACTGACTGAGTGACTGACTGAGTGTGTAACTGAGTGTGTAACTGAGTGACTGACAGAGTGACTGAGTGACTGACTGAGTGACTGAGTGACTGACTGAGTGTGTAACTGACTGAGTGACTGACTGAGTGACTGAGTGACTGAGTGAGTGATTGAGTGAGTGACTAGTTACCCGCTGGTAGGGCGAGATAAACGAGGTGATGCACACCAGCCCAGCGTCAGCAAATAGCCTGGCCACTTCTGCGATGCGCCGAATGTTCTCCTCGCGATCGCCCGGCGTGAACCCCAGGTTCTTGTTGAGGCCGTGGCGGACGTTGTCACCGTCCAGCGAGTAGCAGGGAATGTCGTGCACCACGAGATACTCCTCCAGCGCGAAGCCCAGAGTCGTCTTGCCCGCTCCGGACAGACCTGGCGGATACACGGATCGCGTGCGGGTGTCTCTGTGTGTCTCTGTGTGTCTCTGTGAGTGTCTCTGTGAGTGTCTCTGTGTGTCTCTGAGTGTCTCTGTATCTCTGCGTGTCTCTGAGTGTGTCTTTGTGTCTCTGTGTATCTCTGTGTGTCTCTGTGTAACTCTGTGTGTCTCTGGGTGTTTCTGTGTGTCTCTGTGTATCTCTGTGTTTCTGTGTGTCTCTGTATGTCTCTGCGTCTCTGTGAGTGTCTCTGTGTGTCTCTGTGTGTCTCTGCGTGTCTCTGTGTGTCTCTGCATGTCTCTGAGTGTCTCTGTGTGTCTCTGCGTGTCTCTGCATGTCTCTGCATGTCTCTGTGTGTCTCTGCGTGTCTCTGTATCTCTGCGTGTCTCTGAGTGTATCTGTGTGTCTCTGTTTATCTCTGTGTATCTCTGCATGTCTCTGGGTGTCTCTGTGTATCTCTGTGTGTCTCTGTGTGTATCTGTGAGTCTCTGCGTGTCTCTGCGTGTCTCTGTGTATCTGTGCATCTCTGTGTGTCTCTGTGTGTGTCTGTGTGTCTCTGTGTATCTCTGTGTGTCTGTGTGTCTCTGTGTGTCTGTGTGTCTCTGGCTGACAGAGGAGGTGTCAGGATGGTTGAGAAAAAGCGACAGGCCCACTGTCATCGGCTACTGAATCCCACGTCAGAGAATGAGGAGGCTTACCGCAGCCTTCGCTCGGAGGTTCGGAGAGCTGTGAGGCGCTGCAAGGATGGGTGGTGGTCGCGGGTTGCTGAGGAGATGGAGTCTGCCTCAATGGCCCGTGATCACAAATCTCTATTTAACTCCATCAAAAAAGTAACCTGCAGCGCCACACCTATTACCATCATTAGGGGAAAAAACGGTGATCCAATCTCTGACCCCCAGGAACAGGTTCGCAGATTTGCTGAGCATTTCTGTGAGGTCCTGGGGGAGGGAAAATCCCACAGCCAGGAAAACATCGTGGCACAAAGTGAGGATGACCCTGCTCAGGCTGCGGTGCCTCAAATATTGGAAGAAGTCACCCCCTGTGAGTGGCTGGCTGAGGTGCCATCTGCTGAGGAAGTATTGAAGGCGATCCGGAGTCTGAGACCAGGAAAGGCAGCGGGCAGAGATGGACCACTGGACGGGTTCCGCAGGATTGGAAGGATGCCCTGGTGGTCCCCCTTTTTAAGAAGGGGGACCGCACAGACTGTAACAACTACAGGGACATCTCACTCCTCAGTGTGCCGGGAAAGGTCCTGGCAAGGATTATTCAGCATCGCCTTGCCAGGCACGCTGAGGAGAGGCTTGCGGACCCCCAATGCGGTTTCAGGAAAGGGCGGTCCTGCACAGATGCCATATTTTCTGTCCGTCTGCTACAGCAGAGGTGTAGGGAATTCCAACAAGACCTACATCTCTGCTTTATTGACCTGTCAAGGCCTATGATACCATCAGTAGGCCTGGGCTCTGGGTCGTTCTTCGTGCTTTTGGAGTACCTGACCCTCTGCTCACGATCATTAAGGACCTTCATGATGGTGAGCGGGCCTGGGTAAAACTACGTGGCCGGGAGTCAGAGCCATTCCCTGTACACCTTGGGGTGCGACAGGGATGTCCTCTGGCTCCCACATTATTTAACATCTATTTTGACCACGTAGTTTGTGAAGCCTTCAATAGCTGTACCGGGGGAATCTCCATATGGTACAGATATAATGGGAGGCTAATCGATGCCCGGGTGCGGTCAAGGGATGGCTCCCTATTGCTCAACCACATTATGTATGCTGTTGATTTGGTAATAGCTGCTCAGTCAGAGGAGGAGTTGGAGACGCTGCTGCTGAGACTGGAGCGTACCACTAAGAGGCCTTACCATCAGCCCCACCAAAACTAAGCACCTGCCTGGGTATTTTGTACCATCGGACACTCCACCCCCACAACTCCCAATCGGTGATGGGGCAGTTGTGGAGAGAGTGGAGAGTTTCCCATACCTGGGCAGTGTGCTTATGACTGGCTCCAGTTTAACAGAAGAGGTCTCACTCCGAATCAGTCGAGTGGCAATATCTTTTCATCGGTTGCGTAACGCTGTGTGGAAGCTACCTGGTCTGTCGCTCCGCACTAAGTTTCAGGTCTTCTCGGCCACGGTCATTCCCTCCCTTCTCTACGCTTGCGAAACGTGGACCCCCCTAATGGAACATCTTCGCCAGTTAGAAACATTTAGGCTGGCCTGCCTACGATCAATCCTGGGTTTAACCAGACTGGATTGTGTGAGGAGCTCACAAATCCTTGAAAGATCTGGGCAGGGTCCCATCGGTGAGCTCATCCAGCAGGCAAGGCTGCGATGGCTGGGTCATGTAGCCCACATGCCCAGCCACCGCATGCCGAAACAGCTTTTGTTTGGCCGGATCGAGGGGGCTAAGCGGGCGCGGCACGGGCTAGAGAAGAGATGGAGTGATGTGGTAAAGGAGGACGTGGAGCTGAGTGGACTTGCCGATGACTGGTACCAGCGGTGTCAAGATCGGCCTCTGTGGAGGAGGCTCGTGAAGGACGCTACTGGGCAGTTGGAGGCAGTCGCCCTCCAACAACAACGGAGGGCGGAGGAGCGACGCTCAGAACAACGAGCGGAGCGCCGGGTGGCTAAAGCACAGCAGGTTGGCACAGTAGGGGGCACAGGTGGTGCATCAACCAGTCATCTAAGTCAGTCGACCCGTGGCACCTGGGTCTGCCCCGTGACCTCCTGCCAGCGGGTGTTCGACACTTCACGTGGCCTCAGGGTGCACATAGCCTGGCACAAGCGTCGTGGTGACGTCACCTCCACTTAGTGGCGAATGGCGGTTGTTGTTGTGTGTATGTGTGTGTGTGTATGTGTGTATGTGTGTGTGTATGTGTGTATGTGTGTGTGTATGCGTGTGTGTGTATGTGTGTGTGTATGTGTGTATGTGTGTGTGTATGTGTGTGTATGTGTGTGTGTATGTGTGTATGTATGTGTGTATGTGTGTGTATGTGTGTTTGTACCTGTGAGCCAGATGGTGCATCCCCTGAACCCGGCACGGTTCCCGACCACCTGGCCACGCTTGGTGCGACTCACGTGGTGAGACTGATACACAACATTCGTAGCTCGCTGCATGTCCTGTAGATACACACACACAGATACACACACACAGATACACACACACAGATACACACACAGATGTTGTGAGCGTATGTATTATTCCTTATAGGGGAAACGCATACTAATTAACGGATTACTAAAGTAGCATATAATCACAATAACACACATTACAACTGATTACTACTCTACAATTCATTACTAATCATAACCATTGACTGATTACCAATCGATTATATAATTACTGCACCTGAATGAGTTAAATGATGACTTCACCCTGCTGCTCTATTTAAGACCGGGAGCAAGCGACGGCTTCACCATTCTGGCGAATTGTCCGATGATGCTGGATGTAATTACCAGCGAAACGTCGTACTCAAATTTCAAATGATGTTGATTCACTCTTCAACACACCGGTGGGCTAAAGTAGTGAACTATTTGTCCTTTGTAAACGTGACACTTTTTTGCTGATTGGCCGTGTCGGGTGGTGGAGGGTTACGACACATTTATAAATAACGCGATCTAACCCAAAAACCTTTATCATGAATAACATTGGTCGCGAAAGCCTACGTGTTAGCCTCTAGCAGGCTGTAGAGTCAAGTGCTGTCAGTAGCACCTACACACAAAGATCCCCCGTGTAGCCTCTAGCAGGCTGTAGGGGCAACTGCTATCAGTAGCACCTACACACAGACAAATATCCCCCGTGTAGCCTCTAGCAGGCTGTAGGGGCAAGTGCTGTCAGTAGCACCTACACACAGACAAAGATCCCCCGTGTAGCCTCTAGCAGGCTGTAGGGGCAAGTGCTGTCAGTAGCACCTACACACAGACAAAGATCCCCCATGTAGCCTCTAGCAGGCTGTAGGGGCAAGTGCTGTCAGTAGCACCTACACACAGACAAAGATCCCCCGTGTAGCCTCTAGCAGGCTGTAGGGGCAACTGCTATCAGTAGCACCTACACACAGACAAATATCCCCCGTGTAGCCTCTAGCAGGCTGTAGGGGCAAGTGCTGTCAGTAGCACCTACACACAGACAAAGATCCCCCGTGTAGCCTCTAGCAGGCTGTAGGGGCAAGTGCTGTCAGTAGCACCTACACACAGACAAAGATCCCCCATGTAGCCTCTAGCAGACTGTAGGGGCAAGTGCTGTTAGTGGCACCTACACACAGACAAAGATCCCCCAGGTAGCCTCTAGCAGGCTGTAGGGGCAAGTGCTGTCAGTGGCACCTACACACAGACAAAGATCCCCCGTGTAGCCTCTAGCAGGCTGTAAGGGCAAGTGCTGTCAGTAGCACCTACACACAGACAAAGATCCCCCGTGTAGCCTGTTACAGGCTGTAGGGTCAAGTGCTGTCAGTAGCACCTACACACAGACAAAGATCCCCCGTGTAGCCTCTAGCAGGCTGTAGGGGCAAGTGCTGTCAGTAGCACCTACACACAGACAAAGATCCCCCGTGTAGCCTCTAGCAGGCTGTAGGGGCAAGTGCTGTTAGTAGCACAAACACACACACAAAGATCCCCCGTGTAGCCTCTAGCAGGCTGTAGGGGCAAGTGCTGTTGCTACAACTACTACCAGCACTACCACCACTACCACCACCACACAGGCATTTTAGCTACCACTTACTTTAGGAACCCAGGTGCTGAGGAAGTCCATTGCACTACCACGATCACTCGGACACTCACACAGAGAGAGAGACACTCACACAGAGAGAGAGATACACTCACAGAGAGACACTGGGAGAGAGACACTGGGAGAGAGACACTCACACACAGAGACACTCACAGAGACAGAGAGACACTGGGAGAGAGAGACTGAGAGAGAGACAGAGACACTGCTAGAGACACAGAGACACTGCTAGAGACACTGCTAGAGACACAGAGACACTGAGACACTGAGACACAGAGACACTGAGACACTGAGAGAGAGACACAGAGAGACACTGCTAGAGACACAGAGAGACACTGCGACAGAGACACAGAGACACAGAGAGACACTGAGAGACACTGAGACACAGAGAGACACTGAGAGACACTGAGAGACACTGAGACACAGAGAGACAGAGACACAGAGAGAGACACTGCTAGAGACACAGAGAGAGACACTGAGAGACACTGCTAGAGACACTGCTAGAGACACTGAGAGACACTGAGACACAGAGAGACACTGAGAGACACTGCTAGAGACACTGAGAGACACTGAGACACAGAGACACTGAGACAGAGACACTGAGAGACACTGCTAGAGACACTGCTAGAGACACAGAGAGAGACACTGAGACAGAGACACTGAGAGACCCTGAGACACAGCCAGTGACTGAGTGAGCGCTGAGTGTCGTGAGAGCCTCTTTAGTAGCCCGGCGGCGGCTGTGGGCGGAGCCCCGGGGAGGGTCAAGAGCCTTGGCAGAGCTCCATAAAGGTCGACGAGGCCACTCAGGGGCCCTTGACCTCACTCAGGGGCCCTTGACCTCACTCAGGGGGACCGCACTCAGGGGCCCTTGACCTCATTCAGGGGCCCTTGACCTCACTCAGGGGGACCTCACTCAGGGGCCCTTGACCTCACTCAGGGGGACCTCACTCAGGGGCCCGTGACCTCACCCAGGGGGACCTCACTCAGGGGCCCTTGACCTCACTCAGGGGCCCTTGACCTCACACAGGGGGACCTCACTCAGGGGCCCTTGACCTCACTCAGGGGGACCTCACTCAGGGGCCCTTGACCTCACTCAGGGGAACCTCATTCAGGGGCCCGTGACCTCACCCAAGGGGACCTCACTCAGGGGCCCTTGACCTCACTCAGGGGCCCTTGACCTCACTCAGGGGGACCTCACTCAGGGGCCCTTGACCTCACTCTGGGTGTACACTGTGAGTGAGTGAGTGTGTGAGTGAGTGTGTGAGTGTATGAGTGTGTGTGAGTGTGTGTGTGAGTGTGTGTGGAGTGTGTGAGTGTGTGTGTGAGTGTGTGTGAGTGAGTGTGTGAGTGTGTGAGTGAGTGTGTGAGTGAGTGTGTGAGTGAGTGTCTGAGTGTGTGAGTGAGTGTGTGAGTGAGTGTGTGAGTGAGTGTGTGACTGTGTGAGTGAGTGAGGTGTGACTGTGTGAGTGAGTGAGTGTGTGAGTGTGTGAGTGAGTGTGTGAGTATGTGAGTGAGTGGGTGAGTGTGTGTGAGTGTGTGTGTGAGTGTGTGTGAGTGTGTGAGTGAGTGTGTGAGTGTGTGAGTGTGTGTGTGAGTGAGTATGTGAGTGAGTGTGTGTGTGAGTGTGTGTGTGTGAGTGAATGTGTGAGTGTGTGAGTGAGTGTGTGTATGAGTGAGTGTGTGTGTCTGTGTGTATCTGTGTATGTATATATCTCTATGTGTCTATATGTATATATATTTGTGTGTCTGTGTGTGTGAGTGGTGGTGTAGTAGGTAGCGCTACGCTGCGCTATGAACCCAGCTACCCGAGTTTGATTCCCGCGCACGGCCAACACCGCCAGTGACGATTCTCTGAACCGGTCCTGGGCCTCCCCTAAGTCGACTCAGCCTCAAATGAGTACCTGGTGTAGCGGTGTAGTGCAGTGGTGGTGTAGTGGTGGTGGTGTAGTGGTGGTGTAGTGTTGGTGGTGTAGTGGTGGTGGTGTAGTGGTGGTGTAGTGGTAGTGGTGTAGTGGTGGTGTAGTGGTAGTGGTGGTGGTGTAGTGTTGGTGGTGTAGTGGTGGTGGTGTAGTGGTGGTGGTGTAGTGGTGGTGTAGTGGTGGTGGTGTAGTGGTATTGGTGGTGGTGTAGTGGTGGTGTAGTGGTAGTGGTGGTGGTGTAGTGTTGGTGGTGTAGTGGTGGTGGTGTAGTGGTGGTGTAGTGGTGGTGGTGTAGTGGTGGTGGTGTAGTGGTGGTGTAGTGTTGGTGGTGTAGTGGTGGTGGTGTAGTGGTGGTGTAGTGGTAGTGGTGGTGGTGTAGTGGTGGTGTAGTGGTAGTGGTGGTGGGGTAGTGTTGGTGGTGTAGTGGTGGTGGGGTAGTGGTGGTGGTGTAGTGGTGGTGTAGTGGTGGTGGTGTAGTGGTATTGGTGGTGGTGTAGTGGTGGTGTAGTGGTAGTGGTGGTGGTGTAGTGTTGGTGGTGTAGTGGTGGTGGTGTAGTGGTGGTGTAGTGGTGGTGGTGTAGTGGTGGTGGTGTAGTGGTGGTATAGAGACAAAGGCGGCCGGGCGTAGTGGTGGTGCTGGCCACCCACCCCCTCTGTGTGTGTAGCCACAATGCCGGTAGCCTCAATAGGCGATGCTGCTACTCGCTACTAGCAGCACTTGCCCCTACAGCCTTCTAGAGGCTACACGGAGGATCTTTGTCTTTGGGCTCTAGGGGTTCGTCGACCGTAAAGAGATAGCGGTGGGGGGAGGAGTTAGAGGGGGGACATTCACCTGGTACACTCATCATCAACATCACCATCACCAACAACATCACCATCAACATCACCAACAACACCACCATCAACATCACTCACTCACCCACTCACTCACCCACTCACTCACTCACCCACCCACCCACCAACACACTCACTCACTCACACACTCACTCACACACTCATTCACCCACACACTCACTCACACATTCACTCACTCACACTCACTCACACACTCACTCGCTCACCCACTCACTCACTCAGTCACACACTCACACTCACTCACCCACTCACTCACACTCACTCACTCACCCACTCACTCACTCACACACTCATTCACCCACACACTCACACACTCACACATTCACTCACTCATACTCACTTACACACTCACTCACACACTCGCTCACAGACTCACTCACCCAGTCTCATACTCACTCACTCACACACTCACTCACTCACACGCTCACTCACACACTCATTCACCCACACACTCACCCACTCACACACTCACACGCACTCACACACTCACTCATTCATTCACCCACTCACACACTCACCCACTCACACACACACTTAAACACACTGACACACACACAATTACACACACACTGACACACACTTACACACTTACACACACACTAAAAGACACACTCACACACACACTG